GAGTAAGGGCCAGATCCCACTGGCAAAGAGGATTGGAATGAGTGTCTGAATCTGGACGTGTTTGTGGCGAGGTGCAGAAAACTGTGCTTGATCTGCTTTTCTGCATCTCTGCGTGGAAGACGTCCAGATTCAGACACTTATTGCAATCGTCCTTGCCAGTGGGATCTGGCGCTAAGTAACGAAAACAGTAAGGTCTTGGCTGCCAGGATTGACTGCCCCTGTAAGCCGGAGGGTTAACTGTGCAGCTCATCTTCCGAGGATTCTATCCTGTTCCACAGTGATCTATTGCCGTTCGTGCCTCTGTCTCAAAAATAAAGAAAAAAAAACTGGTTTTGACGTCCACGGCACCAAAGACGACGACTACCAGTATCCTTCTTTTTTTTTTTTAAATCCATATCTTCTTCCAACGGCCCATTTCTGTGCCAAAGACCAACAGCTATGCAACGTGCCAGCCCCCTGCCCCGCACTTTTTTACTTTTTTGCTTCTTTTTTTTCTCCTGCCGGTAGTGCGTCGGCGGTTTTTTTTTTCCCTTCAAAAAATATAAGATTCGACCGACTTTTCCCTTTTTTTCTTCGCCCGTTCGATTTGCCGATTCGATTTTCGATTATGTGAAAGCATGGCTGCCAATATTGCGACCAGCTTTTCTTCGTTTTTTCACTACTCATCGTTCTTCTTCTTGTTCTTCTTCTTCCACGCGTTCTCTGAGACATGATGGACAATTTGTGACGCGAAGCGTGTACACAAGAGAGGTGCTGGTCCTTGTTTTCACTCTTCTTCTTCTTCTTCTTCGTCGTCGTCGTCGTCGTCTTCTTCTTGTTCTTCTTCTTCTTCTTCGTCGTCGTCGTCGTCTTCTTCTTGTTGTTCTTCTTCTTCTTCTTCTTCTTCCGCGCGTCATCCCACCTACCGATTCCTGCCAATCCACAGATACCGCCGAAGCATTCTACTCTACTCTACTCTGATCGTTTCTCCATCATATCAAAACATTTCTTAAATTGCTAGTGCCTTCAAATTGCTAACAATCCCTTCAATTTGCTAAATTTCTTAAATTGCTAGTCCCTTCAAATTGCTAATCAATCCCTTCAAATTGCTAATCAATCCTTTCAAATTGCTAATCAATCCCTTCAAATTGCTAAACATCCCTTCGAACCGCTACTCCGTACATACTCCCACACTCCTCACTCACCGCCTCCATCTTCCGCCCCTTTTTCATTTTCCTTCTTTAGGATGCAGTCCGTAATATCATACATATCGTCCGATTTCCAACCAAAAGTTCGACCGCACAAGCGTCTGATTTCATCAGTAGTTTACACGACTTGCACGATTTCCTGACTTCCGTATATCCCCTCCCATGAACACAGCTCGTCCGTGCATTACATCACGAGATGAATGGACCCTTCTCGCGCCTCCAGGGTACCGCCTTCACACAGATGGAAATCCCCCGGTCATTTTGGGCCATTTTCGGCGGACATTTTCGGCAGTCTAGATACACAGCGAGCGATAATGAGCGGGCGTTCAATTTCGGTGACGACGGTAGTCCCTTGCTTTCCGAACCACCGCAACGCGAATTCGTCCCTTCCCCAAGAGGACCGGCCACTCACCAAAAATTTGAAAAAAGACAAAAAAACTGTGTTGCCCCATCCGGAGGAGACCTAAAAAGAAGATTGTTCTTTTTCCTCCTTCTTCAAGCTATATAAAATATTACTATATAGTATATTTTATTCTCCCCTCAATTCCCCTTTCACTACCTGCCTACCACTACGACTCTCCTAAGGCTATATCTGCCCCTGCGAGCATAGCTCCCTCTCACAGTCATGAGCACATAGCACGTCGCCCCTTGCCCTAATGGTTTCGCCAATTAATTAGGTCTTATCTTACTATCCTAAAAAAAAAAGAAAGAGAAAAAGTTATGTGCCCGCAACTGGAGCGGAGCTGAGGAAAGGACTGTTTCAAAAAGTACTATACTTCCTTGGATTCGGATTCGACAACTTCTCTTCCTTGGAAAGGGAAAAGGCAGAGCAGTCTTGGAGTCACTAACCTTGGTTGCCTAATACTGAATAGCCATTTCCAAGGAAAATGGCCTGGAAAAATGCATCTTTATTTCATAGATACCGAATCGTAAGACAATAGCAGTTTGGAGACGGTAGTAGAAATTGAGAGAAGAACGAAGCTTTACTGTTTTTCATTTAAAAAAAAAGAGGGGGGAAAGGGGAAGACACCCAACAAAAAAAAACGAAAGTGCAACAAAGAAACCAAAGAGAGGAACCGCCCCATCCCCCCCCAATCCTCCCCTTCTTCTCTCCCCTCCCCCCTTTGCCTTTTCCTCCCTCCCATCCGCTGGGTAGAAGTATCGCGGATGGGAGCGAGGAAAGGCCAAAAGGGCGGAAAAAGGGGAGGATAGGGGGGATAAGGCGGGGGAGTTGGGAGGGGCGGGGGGGGGGGGGGGGGGACGTAACAAAGGCGAGATGGAGAGGAGGGAGGAAAATCATGAAGGGAAGAGATTCTTACACGGAGCGGCCTCCAGTATACGATATCTTCACGCCGTTGTCGTACCAGTAGAGSGTGGGRTATCCCTGCACACCTTGCTCCCGGCCGAGGTCATTCTCCTGAGTTGCGTCGACCTTGGCGAGGATAATTTTGTCATCGTACCCCTTCAAAATCGTGGCTGCCTTTGCGTACGCAGGTTTCAACGTCTTGCAGTGGCCACACCACGGCGCGTAAAACTCCACCAGCACCTTGGCTGTCTTCGAAACGGTGTCATTAAAGGTAGCCGCCGTCAAAACCACGACATCCTTCTCATCTACTTTCTCCTCCTCCTCCTCCTCGGGCTCTTCCCCCCCCCCTGCCGCACCCGCTTCGTCACCTTCCTCCCCTTCATTGTACCCTTCCCCCTCTCCTCCTTCCATATACTGTTCCGTTAACGCCGACTCACCGACGTCCGCCTCAGCCTCCTCCTGAACTGCCGGAGTCCCTTCATCGTCGTCAGAGTCCTCTTCATCGGACGACTCCGCCTTCTCCTCCGCGTGCACAGGTGTCAAAACTTTTGTAAGTGGATAAGCGATGAGCAGCACCGCCAAGAGAGCCCACAGCAATGCCTTCGAAGATCTCCGCGCCATTTTGCTTCTGACAAGCCGCTTCGAGAGAACGGGAGACTGACTTCGGCACTGCGCCACGTGCACAAACATTAACCACATCAATCAATGTGTAAACAATGTAATACTATATCGAGTAAATTAGTAGAATGTGTGTGAACTATATAATATATATCGTCAAACAGAGCTGCCCGGTAAACTGTAGGCAGAGAGGGAGGGAGAAGAGGACAACAAACGAGGAGGGGCTGTGACAAACTGTTTCGTCGGAGTTTCACCTACCTACCCATCACGAAGCTGAACCCTATCTAGTAAATTAGTAGAATATACGATATATATATCGTCAAACATATATTCTATCAAATAATATAACAAGTACTAAGAACGATAGTTAACAATATTCTATTGTATTTCAACTTTTTTGGTTAAAAAAAAAAGAAATATAAAAGGCTATTTCTTCCAAGCCCAACCAATACAATTACCAGTCGAATCCGGACAGGATGGCCTTTCAGGCCTTTATTTTTGACATTTAGTACAAGGATCCAGTAGCAGCCACATAAGTGCTCAACGCCCCCCCCCGGTCCCCTCCCCCTACCAGCAGGTGCGTGGTCAGCCGGTAGCATCAGCACCAAGCTTCTTCGATTGGCCAGCCCCTGTGCCTTCCCTCCGGTCCCCTCCCCCTACGAACATCAGCAGTCTCCGTTCAATATTCTATGAAATATAAAATACCCGAAATTAGACTACTCCCAATTATAAAGGGAAGTAACACACATGGCATCGAACGTGTAAACCATAAGAACACAGACCAGACCAAAAATAAATAAATACTTAAACAACAATAAGAACCGACGGGCCTAGCTCAGTTGGTACACCCATGACTTGTTAAAATACAGACCTGAGTTGGAATCTCAATGGAACAATATAAAAATAAATTCTTGAATCACCTGGGGCCCTCCGGTCCTATGATGATATGTCGAGGCCTTAATTGAAAACGACAAAAAAAAAAACAAACAGTAATTAAACAATCGGCTGGTAATGCGATAATAACGACGTCAGGTAGTAATCCTGTAAACAATTAGGCTGTGACTAAATAAAACCATAAGGCACTGGGCTACGAACCGGGCCGCCCGGGACACCTTGGTTGACCGGCCGGGCAAAAGTCAGGGAAAGTCCATGGAAAAAAAAAGGGAAAAAAAAACTACGTTATGCAAAAAAACAAACTGAACTTTTACTCCAGGCTCACATCGAAATTCTTTACAAAACTTTACAAATACTAACAAGCAGACCGGTCCCGGCTCCGCTCCCGGCGCAGAGGCAGATGCGCAGGAGGGAGGGAGGGAGGGGGAGGGAGGGCGACAGAGAGAGAAAGAGAGAAGAGGAATAGCGGAGGAAGTCGCGGAGACAGGCAATGTTCTTTTTTTTCTTGTCTATAAAAACTGATAACCAAGTCTGCCGACAAAATCCAGTGTCTATCGTCGCAGCTGGCTTTTCAAAAAAAAAGTGGTGGTTTTCTTTTAAATTGAGAAAAAAAGAAAACGACTCAAGCGGATTGGCTTTTCAACAAAAAAAAAGGGATGCAAAAATCATTTGTAAGCGCGCACGCCGCTTCAAAAGGGAGATGGTCCCCTTCTTTTTTTTTTGCCGGTCGTTGACTGATTGATTGATTGATTGATTGATTGATTGATTGATTGATCAATCGATTGAGGCAGGTATTGTGGAGCCCGGGCCTGAGCGGCCTCCCCCGTGCGTCAAAGGCATTGTGCTTTTACCGTCCATGCCAACCCTTCATCAGGCCATCCCAATCAGTCGACCAACCATCCAGACCGTCCATCAATCCCCCATCTGCCCATTCCCACGAACATAGCACCCATGCAACCCTCCATCTGCCCATCCCAACGGCATAGCGGCCATGCCGATCCTCCATCCGCCTACCGCCCATCATGACTCTGCGTCCGTCCATCTCATGCCTCCATCTGCACATCCTGATCTGCCCACCACAAACGTCGATCAACCCGACGCTCATCCGGACACTGCATCCGCCAAGTTCCCCCCCCTCCTCTCTCTCTCTCTCTCTCTCTCTCTCTCTCTCTCTCTCTCTCTCTCTCTCTCT